TTCTCATTTAAATATAGATATATTTAATATAAAAAATAACTAAGATTCATAAAAATAAGATATAAAGAGTTTAAGATATTTTTAATCTATAAATATATTAATAAATAATTTAAAGGAAGATTATGATTAATTTTTTTATAAAATTGATAATTATCAATTTTGGAATAATTTTTATATTATTATTGAAAATATTAGCACACTTGATTTAATAAAGGTATACTATCTCTTCAAATTAAAGATTGGATTAAACTATATGTTAAAAAAGATGACTTCTTTCCAAAATTTATCTTCCAAATGCATGGTCTTAGTATAGAAAAAGTTAATATCTATGATTCAACATTACATTATCAACCAAAATAAGAATTTATACAATTACAAATAATCCTAAGTTCTTTATAATAATTTTAAAAGCATAAAACTTTTAGTCTCTCAAAATATAAAAAATTGTGGCATCTAATTAAAAAATAGTCTTGAAATTATCAGAAAAATCATCCTAAATAATAAATAAATGAATAATAATAAGTCAAAATAATTATATTATAATTAAATTTATAATTTTTTATTTTCTTACAAATTATTAAATTCTACCTCAATGTATGTCCTTCAAAATTTAAATTATTTAAAATAATAATATTTATAATTTATTTTGATAAAAATATATGCACAATATTTTAAGAGCTATGAATAATCAAATAAAATTAGGAAGTATAAGGTTCCATTAATTAACAAAAAATAAATTTGGTCTATAATTCTTGAAAAAAATTAGATGATGTAAAACTTATTAACTACAAAGTATTTATATTTAGATAGAATAGATTATAGATGATCTAAATAATATTTTGAGTACTAACAGGTACAAATAAAATTAGGAAATATAAAGTTCCATTAATTAAACTAGTGGTCTATGATTTCAAGACATCTAAAAAAATACTAATATCTACATAGTAAATAACTTCATATGATTTGGTGCATGCCTATATTTTGATGCATTTTTAAAATTTAGATTTTGCTCAGATAATCTAATTAAAGAAATTAAAATATATATTATGATTATAAATATTCAAATAACCAAAAATTAAATAATTCAAATTAGTTTCAATACCAAATTAGTTTTGATTTCAAAAATAATTTTTAGAAGAAAAAGTTTAAGGATTTTTAATTAAAAAATTTGAGATTACTTTATATGTAATTTTTTATAAAAAAAGAAATTAAATTAGATTAATAAATTTTTAATTATGTATAAATTTTTTAAATTATGTTTTTAAAATTTTATAAAAGTGTTTTATTTTATCTTTAAAGTTATATAAAAAATTTAAATTCAAATTTAAATTAAATAACTAATATAATTTTTTTATTTTATTAGGATCTTAGAAGGAAATAAAAATTATTTGTTGGTTTTTAATTTGATTATGATTATTGATTTTATTTCATATGATATCTATAATTTTAAAAAAATTTATGTTTCTTAAATTCTAAATTTTATTGAAATTTGTTGTAGAAATAAAATTTAATAATTTAATATATAGTTAATTTAAAATTTTAATTTATGAAAATATTTGAATCACATTTATATAATACCTATTATAATTTTTCTACAAATATAAATTAAAATTTAAGAGGAGATCTTAACAATATCTATAAAATAGTTTTATAAATTGCTAGGTAGATACTTATTTTATTGTATAGATACATCCTTTTTATTGTATGGTCATTTCTTATGAATTTAATAATATGCTATTGTTACAAATGTTTGAATATATTTGACATTATTGAGACCAAAAGATATAAAAATTCCAACAACCCACATTACATATACATCAATAATCCCAAAACTAAACAAAAAAAAATAAATAAAGAAGTGGAGTTTGTAGATCAAGTTGGCTAGGTAGATATGAGCATAATTAATAGAGCATTGAGTGATTTAGTTTTAAAGCTTATTTTTTATTATCTTTTTTTAGTTATACTATTTTTATCTAAATATAATATAAATAATATCATAAATAAGTTTTTAAAAAATTAGAATTAATCTTAAAATAACTATAAAATAATTAAGAAGTAATTTAATTTCAATCCAAATTGTTATACTTCTATTCTTTATAAATGTTATAGTTTATTATGGATTAAAGCATTTGAGTAGTCAATCTTTAAAAAAATACATTCTAAATACAATGTTGAAGTTGATTAGGCTAAAAAAGTAAGATATTTGGCTACCACTTTTAGGTCTTCAAACAATAGTATAAGAGGACTTAAAGGTTTATATGGTTGGGATCCTCTTCTTTTTTATTAGTGGACAAGGCAATGCCAAATTTTTTCTATACTTTATAAATGGCTTTGATCTTTGTTAGTTTATTTATTTATTTATTTATTTTTACTTTTATTTTATAATTAGATTTTTAGTATTTATTTAAAGATATGGTTTTTTGTTGCACTCTATAAAAAAAATAACATCCAATTTAATGAAGGATAGTATACTACTTTCATAGTTTGGTGGCTTTATTTTAAAAAGCTATTATTTATTGCTCACAAATTAAAAAAAAAAGATTTAAAAAAATAATAATAAAAAAAATAATGAATTTTAGTTTCCAAAGAGCTAAAAATCAATAATATCTGACCATATATGTGGTAGAAGTGATAATTTTTGTAGCAAAGGATCCATTGCCTCCAAATTCAAGCAACTTATAGAAGATATAACTTTGGGGAAAAATTAAGAAAATTAAGATAGTCCAAATGATCATATTTATTTAGAAAAAGCTTGATTCAAAGTAAATATTTTAATAATCTTAATCTTACTAAAGGAAAAACAAGCAAAATGATGTAACATTGAGTTTTATAGAAAAGAGTTTGTTACCTTGCTAAATTATAATATCAACTTCAAAGAACAATATTAGAAATGTCCAAATAAATATGACGTTGAATTTAAAAGATGGATGCATCTTTAAGTCTTCTTTCTAACAAGACTTGTTAGACTCAATTTAGAGCTTAGTAGCAAATATAGTATGTTATTTTATGAAAAAAGAAGAAGAGAGGTGGGAGGGAGGTTGCAACAATAGATTTAGAGATGCTAGATCTCCTTGATTCTTTACTTAGAAAATTTTGTAAATCTATTAATTAATTGGTATAGATAAATTTTAGATGGAAGGTTAAAGAAGATATAGATGTTTAATTGGATAAATAATTAAAACAATAGATAGATTTTTAGACAAATATAACAATTGGATGAAATTATTGATTTGAATGTGATATATTTTTGTAGATGAAAAATTGAAATGACATCTATTGTATGGATTATGATGAATATTAGTTGGATAGATTTATGAAACTTAAATAATTAATGAAGTAATAACTTAAGTTAGACTATAAATGATAAAATATTAATTCAAGTTAATTAGTTATTATTTATTCAAGTGTAGAGTTTCAAGACATCTACCTAGATGTATTTGATTCCTTTCATAATGGCCAATTTATTTTTTATTTTTTATTATGTTTTATTTTTTTAATTAACTTTTGTGTTGCTAATGTTTATATGTTGTAGGTTGTTGTTTTTTGTTGATGTTTTAATATCTTTCTGCCTTATCACTGTCAAGCTCTTTATAAACTTATAGTAGTAGTGTATTGTTTGTATGGTACAAGATGATATTTATATAATAAAAAGAAGGTATCAATATAGTGATTCTCTAAATATTTAATTTAAAAAAATCTTAATTATTAAAATTTGTAATAATTTTATATAAATTCCAAGTTAAGATATTTTTACTTTATTAAAAAAACTCTTATACATGATCATATTTGATTGCATCCTTATTTACTACAACTTATGTTTTAAACAATATTACTTATTATACATATTTATATTTATATATCATAATTTGATATTTTTTAGATGATTAAATTTTAAGTTTTAAAATTATCAAGTAACTAAATATATTAAATCTATCAATATATATATATATATATATATATATATATATATATATATATATATATATAGATATATATATATAGATATGGATATGGATTTTACAATTGATATACATGATATATTTAATTTTAATAACATGTTATGTGTGTGTGTATATATATATATATATATATATATGTGTGTGTGTGTGTGTGTAAAATTTAAATCTATATTATTTTATTAATAAATATATAAAAATTACAAAAGATATGAAATTATTTAAATATATATAATTTAAATTCTAAATTTTATAATAATACACATGTATATTTGTTTCCACTAAAGTTATGATTTTTGTATTAAAAAGTTAATACAAATTATGTGGCAATTATTCAAACTTTTCTTTTGCAACAATAAGCTAAATGATATATATATATATATATATATATATATATATATATATATATATATAAGATAAATAAAGAGAATTGTTAACACTACATCTTCAATTGATATTGCTTCACTCTACATAACTTGTGCACAACTTAAACTGACTAAAGATCACACTTCTATGCTAAAGGTATGTTTGGTAGTCTAATATTAATTCCAATATTAATCCAAAAATAGAATAAAAAGAATTTTTATTTTTATATTTTTGGTAGCCAAATAAAAAATAAAACTTTAAAATTAATAGTCTTTGAGGAAAATATTTTATTAAAAAGAAAGCAGCTTGTGATTTGTCTTTTTATAAAATATTCACTGTCTCTCTCTCAACAACCACCCTTTCTTAAAGCAAAAAGAAAAAGAAAAATATAAGCAAAAGAAAGAGGCATAATATTAGCTAGTTGTCTACAAGGAAGTTAAGTCTATAAGGATGTAGCAATATCAATTGGGGATGTAGCATCAATAATTCTCTAAATAAATTATTTAATTAAAAAAAGATTAAATAATATGTCTTTTGAAAATAAAAATAAAACTCTTAGAGTCTATTATTTGGTTTTTCTAACTTGATTTTTTTAACTTGATGTTATGCATTGATCTTATACCATAAAATGTAGTATTATATATATATATATATATATATATATATATATCAAACAAATGAACAAAATATATATATTTTTATTTATTTGTTCTTCTGATCGTTATAAAGGCAAGGTGAACTCCCAGTTTAACCAACACTACTTCAATGCGAGACGAGGTTGTAGATTCTCACACCTGAGGAGTCTCGGAATCGCCCACTTGTGGTTATTCTAGTTAAGAAATCGAAGAGACCACTAAAACCCTCCGAAAGCTGGACACAAGAACGTCTGGCGGTCCGCGTGGTCCACAAACCATTCGAACTTTAGAAACCGTTACACTGCGAGCACCATAAGCAAAAATCCTAATCTATATAATAATCTCACACAGCATGGCTTATGTCGAGCAGAACCAGTTGTCGAAAGAGCAGGACCAACATCATTCGAAAATTCCATGGGCTGATTCCATGCACAGGTAAAGCACCCAGTTCAGCGTCGTGATTGAGCCACCACTCGGCACATGAGAAACAGCAAGCTTCTACACCAACATAACTTATTTACAAGCAATCTCAGAAACCAGTTTGTTTCTTTTTGGCTCAGCACACCGGAAGGAAGAGAGAGAGAGATGGCGTCGAGACGGAGTAGGAAGACGAAACTGAGATGTGTCGAGAAGCGCGGAGAAAAGGTTTGTGCTGAACCTCCGCTTGCTTGGCGAAAAGAAAAAAAAACAAGGTGAGGCCACTCGCGAACCTCTCCGACGGAGGTGGCACGAGCGCGGGAGCTCGTCGGCACCCGGGAAACGCTTGCCGAGCCCTGGACTCGGTCGTTTCCAGGATTTCGGCATGGCCTCAGTGACGAGGGGTGCTCGTGTGTGAGCGTGCGCGAATACGCGTGAGTTCCGCTTCTGCGTAGTCAAAGTTAGGATCAGAAGGAAGATCTGGTAGGATGTTCACTGCATCTTGTCTGCGTCGTCCAGTCGTCCGTGGAACATCCTCCAAACACCGGTTAATGGGTTCCATTTTTCTAGCATTAGCTCGCCCTTGCAATTTCCAGGTGATGAAAAGGATGATTGCTATCATGGAAAGGAGGATTGCTATGGCTCCGACCACAACAGCTACCTTCAGCTCGACGGATCTGGTGCCTGTTGCGGTTGCGGGTTCGATGATACATTCTTCCTTCATCACGGGAAATAAAAGTGATGATATTTCTAGCAAGAGCTTGGGATTTGTCAGCTCCAGACGGAGTTCCCTCAAGCACCACCGCTGCTACGTTGTGGAGAGGATGTGCACCAATTGCTGGCTGGATGACCTTCAAACTTGGAAGTGCTTCTTAATATCTCTTCTTTATAGGAAATATTAATGAGACTGGTGTGGAGAAAGATTGACGAAGAATTGAGAAGTCAGTAAAAAATATTAAATGTACAAATCACTTAGGAATGTAACTTTTTATAATAGGAGGAGATGGAACATAACTTTAGGAGAATATTATTTAAAAGCATGTAGGATGAATACTGAAGAAAATCATTTAAATTTAATAGACGAATTAATTGGAGATGCCATGAATTTGTGTTCAGTGTTGGTCCATGTGAATTTTTTATAATATCTTCTCCATAACATTCTACTGCTTTGACACCAACAATTAATTCTAATATACAGAGGATCAGGATTAATTCCACTAATACACACCCTGTGCTTTTCTGATACATAGAGGGTCAGGTTTGTTCCACTAATAACACCATATCCCTTGTGTCATATCATCTACAGGGATTTTTCTTGTTGGGGAAGAGATCTCCAATGGGGTAGATGCAGGGCACCGGATGGGTGTCGGGGCAGAAGATCGGAGGTCCTATGCGTGGGAGTGAAGTTGTGGCTGCCCCTACCAACCCACTCCGAGAAATTTCCATCCAAGCGATGACGGCATAATGTTAAGAGCCACCAGATCGAAGTTACTTACCGATTGTCGAAACCTCGTGGTCGCTTGCAGTCGCTCGAGGCTATTATAAAGATGAAAGAGCATAATATATGCAACGTTGACAGCTTTATGCCCTCCCTCCTTGTTGCTCGCTGTCCAGACTAATGCAGCAGTGAAAGCTCCTGCGCACAACACTGTAATGTTAACAAACGTTGCCCAGCAATCACCCGATGCATCTAGTCTCTTGCTTGATTGTGACTCCGTCCTGTCGAGCCATCTCTCCTACTCTGAATCGCAACTGAGATTATAAACAGCAAATGTCCGCTCTTTCTCCATTTCGGCACCGGATTTCACTAACCAGATTAGACAAAAACAAATTCATCACGGCTGCGTAATACTGAACTTAACCATGCTACATCGGTCTTTTCTCAGAGGCATCTGAAAATAATAAGACTCACAACTGCTTATTGTCGTCACACCGCTTCTGAGTGCAAAATGAGCCGGAGTAGAATAAGAAAATCAAGAAACATTATAAGAAAAAAAAGTAAACATCCTCACGCCCAAGCAAGTATTCGAGTCTAACAGCTGCAGACATTGATTTTACACCATTGATATATCCTGGTTGTCTGCATTGTTTGACGATTTGTTAGCAATTTGTTAGCAATTTGTTTGCACTTTGTTGATCAAGCATGCGCCACAAAAACCTGACACGTTTCCTGGTAATGAAGGTTTTTTGACTATGGATGTATGCCTATTTTGGCAAAAGTGGAGATTCATTTTGGTGCGCCGACCACATGTGTGTTCACTGGAAGACGTGAATTTCACTAAAACGGACTAGAAACTTTCGCTGCTGACTAGACATGATCCATTGTATGCATCACATACAAGTAACTATACTTTAACAAGCGTCGAGTATGTAGATTTTATTTTATTTTCCTTTGACTGACCAGGGGTAAATTCTGTACAAGGTTATCTAAGTCATAGTTGTGATATCATCATTGGGATTTGAATCGCCAATCATATTCGTGCTATTTTGTCATCCATCGGTAGTATAGGATCATCCCAGACTATAAAATTGCAGAATGAATTGTACAAAAATGTGAAAAATACAGTGAAATACAGAAGGTCCATTGGAGGAGTCCAACTTTTGGCTTTTCCATTTTAAGAATTCTTTTAGTTCCAGTAGGAGACTTGACCGAGGATCCAATCCATAAGAGGGCAATTCGATCACATGCATTTGTCAGAAGAGTATAAAAAAGGTTAAAATCATCTTCTAGCAATTCATGATCTAGTCTGATCTTAAAAATTTGAAAACAGCTCTATTTTGCGCTAACGATAGCATTCAAAAGAAACCAATATCTGAACAAATTCATGAACGTTTGGCTAGCAAAGAACAGAAGCTTCGACAAAACTGGAGCAGAGTCACAAAATAAAGGAAACATCATCAGATGAAGGAAACATCATCACATCAATCACCAAACATCCATCTTCCTGAAACTCCACGAAACATACAAAGACATCGAAACAAATTATAACAATCCATGACCACTCAAGTAGATGCTGAAGTGAACTCTTATTCATTTTTCCTTGCAAACAAGTGACTCACCATAATAGAACATATTTTCCTCTTCTACTTCTTCTGCTTCAAGCCTTTCCACAAGAATCTCCTACAATTCCTACGAATGTACAATATTAATTTTAACGTCAATGTGACGCACGAAGCTGAATCGAAGAATCATGACAAAATTGGGAGATAAAGCAGTGTCAACTAGCAAGAGGTGCGAGCGGGGAAGGGCCCTGGTGTGCCGGTCCAGCCTTGAACGCATTCCAACAAAGGAGTCACCAATTGGCCCGCAGAAATGGCATTAAACACCTTCTCAATCTCTTGCCCCGGAGACACCGTCCTCTGCCCAGACAGGAGCTGCGTCTTCAAGTCTCCCCGCACTAGCTTGTACAATGGATACGTCCTACAGTCTTGAATCCTGTTGGGAACCGAGGATAGTCCCTTTGTGTCATATGCTTCTCGCACCGCGGGCACCACACGGCTCAGCTGCAGCTTCAGCTCTGCCTCAAACACTGGAATCTGCCTAAACACTGCGTTGGAGGTCTCCTTGTCGGCACTCTTCAAGGCACGGCTCACCAGCACCCCTCGCAGTTTCTCCATCAGCGGGTATGAATCACTGGTGGAATCGTCGATGTAGCTGAACACCGGCTGACGATCCACTACCATCAATAGTTCCTTCTCGCAGAAGCGTGATGGCAGCAGTGATCCGTCGCTGCCCATGAAGAGCGTCTTCTTGGCCACCTGTGCCACTACTTGCTTCACGGCCGACTGCATGGTCTCTTCGACATGACGCAGGTCGATAGCCTGGCACAAGCCTACCAAGAAGGTGGCGCTCATGAGCTTGAGAATCTCCATGGCTTCCTCCGTCTTGCGGGCTGACACCAATCCCAGTGAGTTCACATCTTGGTTGTGTTGCTCCGCGCTTTGGACATGGGTGGTGACCGGGTTGGCTAGGTAGTTAATCTCAGATAAGTACGAAGCCATGGCGATCTCTGCCCCTTTCATGCCGTAATCCAGGCTGGGGTTGGGTCCCCCGCTCAAATTGGACGGTAATCCGTTGTTGTAGTAGTCGTTCACAAGTTCGGAGAATTGTGCGAACATGAGCTTAGCGATGGCGGCCAGAGCCAGGCGCATGTTGTCCATGGACACACCGATGGGCGTACCCTGGAAGTTGCCGCCGTGCAGGGCGGTGCCCCTGGCAGCGTCGATGATGGGATTGTCGTTCACAGAGTTGATCTCCCGCTCGATGGCGTGGGTGGCGTTGCGGATGACCTCCACCTGAGGGCCCAGCCACTGCGGGGAAGTTCGCAGCGCGTATCTGTCCTGCTTCGGCTTGCGCAGGGGGTCGGTCTCGTTGAACTTGGCGGCAGCCTTCATGAAGGAACTCCCATCCAGCACCCACTCCATGACAGCCGCAGCTTCCATCTGTCCGGGATGGTGCTTCAGCTTGTGAGTCAGGGGGTCGGCAAATTCAGGCTTGCCCTGCATTACCTCGCAAAAGAGCGCGGACAGAACCTCGGCGAGCAACACCATGATGCTGGCGTCGTAGCACACGGTGGAAGCGAGGGCGGAACCGACTGCGGTGCCGTTGACAAGGGCGAGCCCTTCCTTGGGCGCCAGCTCGAAGGGCTTCGCCACGCCTGCGATGCGCAAGGCCTCCAGCGCGGAAACCTCTCGTCCGTCCTCGGTGATGGCTTTGGAATTGGGGCGACCGGTAAGCAGGCCGGCGATGTACGACAAGGGGACGAGGTCGCCGGATGCCGTGATGGTACCCCGCAAGGGCAACTTGGGGGTCACGTGCGCGTTGAGTAGCTTCTCCATAGCTTGGAGGATCTCCCAGCGGATGCCAGAATAGCCCTGCATCAGCGTGTTGGTACGCACTAGCATCGCCGCTCGGGCAGTCTCGGATGGCAGGGTGTTACTCTTGCTGAGGACTCCCGCATTCAGGAAGCGGATGAGTTCGCGCTGGAGCTCCACTCCTTGCTGCGTGCGACGATGAGAGGTCGCTCCGAACCCGGTGGTAACGCCGTAGATGTCACCTCCGCCCATGATCCTGTCGAGCACCCAGTTGGAGCTCTCGTCCACTCTACTCTTGGCATTGGCAGCATCGAGCACGACATGCACGTCAGGTCTGCGAGCAATGGCTGCTACCTGAGGTACAGTGAGGGTGGCTCCCTCGATCATCACCTCGGTGGCATTTTGGTAGGTGTCGACCATCCGCTTGATTTCTTCGAGGTGGCTGCATTCCATGGCCTTGGCGGACTTGGCCCAGTTGAGAGGATCCTCACCATGAACTAGTCCATTACCGAATGGGCCAATGCAGTACTGAGATGTGCTATCATCAAGCATCATGTCTGAAGATACCGCATTAATTTGCTCACCTGATCCGACGACATTAAGCTCCCCAGCTCGTGGTGCCATTGTTGATATTGAGGGCCTGCAATTACACTATCTGTCGAGATCTACTGGGTGCGCGGAGCTAAGCAAGACTGTGATGTACTGAGAGTTCGAAGTCGTGCCTGAACGCCTACTTCAGGAAACAATCTCAACCAAGCAGCAGTAGCAAACTTTGCTGATCTTTCAAGAGATGGGAGGTGAACCAATTGCCGAAGGGTGGGATGCAGGCATTGTCCGGCATGCGCTGCTTGAATGGGCTTCAGGGAGAAATGAAGATTGATGAGATTCGGGGAATGCTCTTTATGCAACTAATGCCTCTGGCTAGAGCGCGGTGTTCACCGTCGAAAGGTATTCTAACGGCTGACCCTAGTCCATAAAGGTGGGTATATTGCGGTGAAAACAGTCCGAGGTGGCGTTGAAATGTTGAAAGTGGTGCCCTTCCTGGACTTATGAGCCTCCTGGTGCCACATGAAGGATGAGAGCCCTCCAGATTGATTTATGATACAGGGTTGTTGAAATTTAGTTCGTCCGTCGTTTACTTCAACACTATATCAAACTACAATTCCCCTCATGTTCTTGTCAGTGGGTCTTGGGTAGGTTTGAAAGTACCTCCCTGGGGTGGACCCGCTTTCTATTGGAGTAAAGTTGGACGCGTGGTCTTGTTTGGAAAGAGGAAGGCGCTGCGATCTTCGTGGTCTTCAGCCTGACTCTCAGAGTCTTTCAGTTATACTGGTCTCCTGGACTGGATCGTTTCGCTAATGTCAATTTAAGATTTCAAAGGGAGACCAGTATAACTGAAAGACTGACCAAAATTTAAGATTTCAAAGGGCCAAGTCAAGACCATGAGTTTTGTCGTCCAATTGCGAAATTCAAAAATTGTCGTGCAACTGTGAAATTCGAAATTCGCCTCTAGACGGCACATGGAGTCGCAAAGTGGTGGGGTGAAAGCAGAAAAAAGGTCAACAGCTTTCAACAGCAATGACTCCACAGAAAGAGCACACGATTCAATGCAGTAAACGTATTTCTTTATTTCTGCAGACATAAAGTCGCGGTCAAAATGAAACATACCCTGGTCAAGGACATCTCGATCCTGATGAAAGTGTCAACATGGCGATGCTCTTAAAGGGCACACGCTGTGCATGAAATAGCAGGGTCGATACAAGCTTCAAAACGGAAGTCGCCACCCAACTACATCGTCTATCAATTCTCTGGCAATCTCTCCGATCGTTGTACTCAAGTTACGAAAATAGACTAGCTCGTGGCGAACTAAGAGAGTGGGGTGTCTCCGCAGATCCCAACTGGTAGCGTAACGGAATCGGTGCGTAGAACAACCTCTCTTGTTGCAGAATTAGCAAAGAGACAAAGTCGGAATACGTTTGGCAGCACAGATTGAGAACTAGAGTGAAGAAATCGACCGGGGTTGTCAAATGGCTTCTGCTGGGGATGTTACAAGGGTCGCGCTCCCCAGGGGTCAGCCCCGCGCTGAAGGGCCAGCCTGCGTGCTAGGCATCGGCACTGCGGTGCCTCCCGCGGAGTTTCTGCAGAGTGAGTACCCCGACTTCTTCTTCAACATCACCAACTGCGGCGAGAAGGAAGCCCTCAAGGCCAAATTCAAGCGCATCTGTGACAAGTCGGGCATCCGGAAGCGCCACATGTTTCTCACGGAGGAGGTGCTCAAGGCCAACCCAGGCATCTGCACGTACATGGAGCCCTCCCTGAACGTCCGCCATGACATCGTGGTCGTCCAGGTCCCCAAGCTCGCCGCCGAGGCCGCCCAGAAGGCCATCAAGGAATGGGGCGGCCGCAAGTCCGACATTACCCACATCGTCTTCGCCACCACCTCGGGTGTCAACATGCCCGGAGCCGATCACGCCCTGGCCAAGCTGCTCGGCCTGAAGCCCACTGTGAAGCGTGTCATGATGTACCAAACCGGGTGTTTCGGCGGTGCATCCGTGCTCAGAGTGGCCAAGGATCTAGCCGAAAACAACAAGGGCGCCCGAGTGCTGGCAGTCGCGAGCGAGGTGACCGCAGTCACATACCGAGCCCCGAGCGAGAACCACTTGGACGGGCTTGTGGGCTCAGCTCTGTTCGGCGATGGCGCCGGCGTGTACGTGGTTGGATCCGACCCCAAGCCTGAGGTAGAGAAGCCATTGTTCGAAGTGCACTGGGCTGGAGAGACCATCTTACCAGAGAGTGACGGCGCCATCGATGGACATCTCACCGAAGCAGGGCTCATCTTCCACCTCATGAAGGATGTACCCGGGCTCATCTCCAAGAACATCGAGAAGTTTTTGAACGAGGCCAGGAAGCCAGTGGGATCACCGGCATGGAACGAGATGTTCTGGGCGGTGCATCCCGGAGGTCCAGCCATTCTCGATCAGGTGGAGGCGAAGCTGAAGCTGACCAAGGACAAGATGCAAGGGAGCAGGGACATATTGTCCGAGTTTGGCAACATGTCTAGCGCGTCTGTGTTGTTTGTGTTGGATCAGATTCGGCACAGGTCTGTGAAGATGGGTGCGTCCACTTTGGGCGAGGGCAGCGAGTTCGGATTCTTCATTGGCTTCGGACCAGGACTGACACTAGAAGTGCTTGTGCTCCGTGCCGCTCCCAACTCCGCTTAGATTCCACCCCACCTCTCCTTTTTACTCCCCATTCTCACCAATTTGTATCATATCAAATTATTGCATAGCATAGCATAGAAGTGTGCAATTCAATTTCAATGTATTCCTGAACTTGAGGTTGCGCTTAATTTCAAAAGAGAAATCAGGTTATCGAATCAACCTATGTTCTTTCTTCAGCAAGCTCTTTACACACTCTAAAATCTAGGGTTCCATTGATTCGTATCCAGAACCTGAACGATCTGGCGTCTGTGGATATATTTCTCTTGCTGTGCTAAATTAGCAGTGCATCTACTCTAGCATTGTTGTTGTTGACTCAATTCATTTCTGGAAGACAAGAGTTTGGCAATGTACAGTCACAATGCAATCAGAGGTGTGAAGTACAGTTTTATTTAGAAAATTTAGGTTGGAAGAAGATGAAGTGGGAGTGTCCAGTGCATACTGTGTACTAAGTTAGGTCTAGCCTTAAGGATTCAAAGTGTGGTATGGGTACAGATTTTGGCAAACATGAGAGTGCTTCGTGACAAAGTGTGGTATGGGTACAGATTTTGGCAAACATGAGAGTGCTTCGTGATGTAGAATAAGTGTGTACAATAATACATGCTTCGTCGCTCCAGAAGCCATCCTTGTTTTCCCTTAGAGCCAGCAAATGTTGTTTTCTGTAGCACTCATAGGTGCGTAGCATTGGAAGGAAATACAACCTTGAATTACGTGGTTTATTTGAGGAGCAATCCTACATGGAATTGGTTTCTACAAATTTGAAATATGTGTCTTGAGGTTTGAGTATCTGTGACTTCAGGCATTTTACATCAACCTAGTCACAGTTTCTTGAAAAGCATCTTGATTAGACAGGAAGGACGTGAAGATAGCAATATTTGGTGCAAATCTTGTACTGAATAAACTTGTTACTAAGAAGTTTTTGGCCAAACATGCTTTAATAAATAAATTTAGTATTAAAATTTATTACTATATATATAATATAATAATGATGAGATAAGTGTTTTAATTTATTATTGTTAAAATAATTTTTTAAATGTCTTATTTTTAAAGAAAAAATAGTGTTTTAGTAAAACCATCATAAACTTTAAGAAAACTTTAAATTCATATCCAATAAATACATATACATACATACATACATACATACATACATACTGAATGTGAAAAGAAAAGAAAAGAAAAAAACAGCCAACGTAAATAAATCCCTCATCAAATTATGTTTATCAAATGTAAAATCTACAAATCAAAGAATTATTGGTGTGGTTTAAGAATACTGCTTTCTACTATAATACTAGAAATATGTTTTTACCCATTCTCTGAGAAAAATACCTCTTGTAATCAAACCATAATCAGATATTTATTTGAATATTTTTCAAAAAATATATAAATTGTAACAGTATTATACAAGGAATTAATGTATACAAAGGTATTTGAAAATCTAACCTAAATTTATAATTATAAAAAAAAGAAACAAATACAGTTACACTATAAAATTTCTTAATTACAACTGCACGTCATAAATCATTATTTTAAATATTTGAACCATCAGTTATATTTGGTTATTAAAATGATGTTTTTTTTATTTTATTTGTCTTGTAATGATTTTTAACTACAGGATCAATAAAAACATATTAAATTTATTCTAAACACATATTACATATATTGTGATTTTAAAGTTCTAAAAAATCATCTATTTTATATATATATATATATATATATATAGGGAGTTTTTAAAGCCACATCCCACATTACTATCTCATGATCAATTTTGTCCATACCTATATCCCTTGTTCCATGCCCCATGTCCTCCATTCCCAACCCTTCTATCTTGTTCCCTAATCCAATCTTTCATTCCCTATCCTCCAAAATTAATCATCACATAGTTTGGAAGATGTGGTTGTAATAACATTGGGATGTGGCTTTAATAACTCCCTATATATAATATATATATATATATATATATATATACAATGAATTGATGATGTTTGTTCAAGTATTATAGATATGCCAAATGTGTTATATATACATATATATATATATATATATATATTGATTTTTGTTGAATCAAAAGTTAGTATTCAATTATCTTGTATATAGTAGAAAAAATTATTTAAATCATAAATTTATTATTTTAGTTGTATTCCATATTTTTATGAATATCCTTTAGAATTTACTTTTCTATTTTTTACAAATCATTTTTGTTTCTTTATGAGATATGTTTTGATAAAAAATCATTTGTAATACAAGACACATGCATTCAATAAAAAATATGTGTATATATATATATAATACAATCAAATATGTTATATTTTTATATAATCTAATAAAAAAAATGAATAGAAGTACTAGGTCGACACCTTTTTTTTAGTGCATAGTTACTTGTTGTACTATGCTTCTGCTCATACATACTTTCACAAAAAATAACTAGTTTTGATTTTAAATATATTTATTATTTATTATTCATTTGACATTGATAACTAATAGTCAATCCATTGTCAACCTCCCCCCCTCCCTCTCCCCCCTCTCTTTCTCTTTTTGACCTATAAGGTGGATTATTTTCAATAGGCTGACGAACCATTGTTGACCAATTTTGATATTTTGTGGTCAAAAATAGGTTTGGAGCCTAGAAAAAATAATATTTAATTGTGAGCAATATATAAAATTCCACGTATTTGGAATCAACATGTGTAAACTATCAAAGATCAATTTTTGCATTAGTAGAGTTGCACGTACATGGCAACTGATTATGCATGAATGAATCAAAGAGTTGTTGAAGAGGGATCAAAAGATGGACAATGTATAAGATATTATTTGGAGATGAGCGGAAACAAGGAAGAATGATGGCAAAAATCTAATTCAAATATAGTGGAATATTTACAACCAAATTTTAGAATTTTTGTTGCTTCATCCACTTATTTATATTTATAAGTAGTATGGAAATAGTTAAAGTTTGATAGCATAATTAGGTGTCACACATCATGGTTTTGTAAAAGTTGGATTCTTGGTTTTGTAACCCTCCATCCCTCAGAATTAGGTTGGCTTACATATGAGAAATAAGTCAAAGAGAATCTTTAGAAAATATGATTGTGTACATTATACATATTTACACATCCATGGTTTCAAAAATTTATTCAGCAAAACATGCATGGATCTAAATAAAAGAGACAATTGATGTGTTCTAATAATCATCAACTACCATGATGACATCACTAACTATCATACTAACATTTGTGAATATGAGCTTTTACCTTCATGGTATGAAGTGTTCATTGTTACCAATCATTAATTAGTAAGAAAGTATTAAGCATTCAAGTAATGCACCATTTTCATCATTGAATTGAAAAAATTGTCCATTAATTATAATATCTACCTTGTTCATATACTTGCTTCTACATTTCAATTGATCTACAATCAAGTAGTTGGTATAGAAATTCAAAACTTAACTAGATTCCATCAAGGTTGTGGTAAATTAAGTCTAAGTGTTTAAGATTGCATACTAGACACAAAGCTCAAGCTATTGACAGTTAAGTGTATGAAGCAAGTGTAATTCAAACCAAGATTTTTAATATAGGATTTTGCTAGACTGATAAGAGCCTCCTTCCACACATGAACAATATGCAAATGTAAAGCTAAAATACAAAACCCTCCCCTGTTTTTTGAAACATCGCCACTTTTTAATTTTGGGGTCTGCAGCTTGTAAACCAACTTTCAGGAGTGGAAAAAGTGGATGGAGATCATTAGGTCCTTTCATTGGTGGACTTTTGAATTGCAATAGGAGGCCATTAGGTCTTTTATGGCCTATGAGAAGTCGTAAAGTGCTTCACTCCTTTCCACGTAGAAGTACAAATTTTGAAATTGGGTGGACATTTCAAACCAGGAATTTCAGTAAAGGATATTGCCAGACCCACAAGAAGGAAATTGTTTATTTATTTCAGTTCATCACCCTTGTCCAGAATGTGCACAATTTCTAGGAATTTGTTAGGTTCTGAGCCCACCACTTGACTTGTTTTAAGAAACAGTAAGAAGACCTTGAAGAGACAAATATCTACAGGGTCTAAGTTGTGAATTGACAGCACATGTCTGGATCTGATTGAAACATGGCCATGCAGAAAAACCCGATGCTGAGTTATCCACTGCTCAGGGTCCCTGCCTGTCTGCATGCTGTATTCTATTTTTTGGCATCTTATAAAACATGCTAAAAAATCCCAAACTCTTAATATTCTCTAATTGTTCATAAATAATTTTCAGTTAATTTTAGAAATCCCAAATTTTCAACCACGCACTCCTACCAATATTATTAGGGACTTCTAACAATTGGTTTCCTATCACCAAGGTGCTCACTAAATTTGAAGTAGCTATTCAACATCCATCTCTGTAGATATTAATGGATGACAGAAAAATGGTCAAAATGCAGATTGGATACCTATTCTACAAAATTAAAGAAAGAGAACTTAGACTGCTTTTTCATGAGCTTTTTTATTATCCATCCAAAAAGAATGTGGGTTGGTGCCCTGATACTTCCAAAAGTATAAATTGTAAATAATTTATAACAAAGGTAATAAATTTCTAAAATAAGTATTTACAGAATTAATACAATCATTCAAATTTACTATATGTTTAATTGTAAGCCGAATTGTAAATTTTAAAGGTATTTAATATTTTATAATTCTTACGTAAATATGAACTGAGAGCGCCGTTGTCGACTTACTTTGCCGCGTCACTCAAATTCCAAGACATATCTTAATTCGGGTCCCCAAATTTGAAGACCGTCAGTGGGTGCTGGCTGGGACCTCACAGATGAAGTCTCAAAGATCCTTTTTGTATTCTCATCTATTTTATATTTCGTAGTTTTATTTTTCAACGATTGGGAAAATTTTGGCAAGTCTTCATGAATTTATTTAATGATTACTTTTTCACGTGGGCTCAATAGAAATTCTAGGGAATAACACTTATCATACTTTTTTTCCAAAGAAAAAAGTGAAATCCTCATCATCTTTTCCTCCTATAACTTTTGAATTTTTGGGTTGCTTTTTCTAAATACAAATCCAACTAAATAGGGCTTATCGATTTCAACACATCAAAGGATTTCACAGTTGAAACTTCTCACCTTTTCCCCTTAATACAGAAACTCCTTTACGAATTTTACAACAAGACAATAAAAGTAACTTTGATAAGATTACACATACATTCAGAATCAATGCAGGTCCCCCGTAGTAGATTTCAAGAAGCTGAACAAGATACCTTATCAGTACCCTTCAGAATCCTTCCTTTGGTTATTTAAAGTCACTTTACATCTTCCCTGAAAGTAGGATGTAAAGTAAAAGCTAGACACGTCACGCCGCGGATCTCAAGTAACGAGCCCGGTTAAGCGATAAGTTTATGTGTGTTCCGCTTCTTCGCGGTTTAGAAATTTAGCGATGGTGGAATATCGTTTTCGTCTTCTCTCCGTCGCCCAGTCGTAGAAGGAACATCCTCCAAACAACGGTCGATGTGTTGCATTTCTAGGGCTCGAGCTCGAGCTTTCAATTTCGAGACGACGATGAAATAGACGATTGCAATGGCTCCGGCCACAACAGCCACCACCACCACGACGTAACCCGTGTGACTTGTGGTTGTCGGCACGATGACAACCCCTTCCGCCTTAACGGGGAGTATGAGTGATGACATCACCAGCGGAAGGCCGGTTTTAGTCCACAGCGATGACTTTGTCCTCGCTGCCCCGTAGTCCACGGCGTCCTCATTCCATCCCGTGTCATGCAACCCGGGAAAACCGTTCACCTCGGCCCGATTTCCACGTTGCGCGGCTGCGGCTCCTAGGGTGGATGTACAGCCGTCAATTGCCGTGCAAGTGTCTGAGCCATTTCCTGGGATGCACTTCACCATCTTTCCCATCATGAAATCTTCGACGCTGGCAATCTTTGATGCAAATTCCAAATCGGAAGAAACCCCGAGAAGCACAACCTGATGAGTGCGTCCGGATACCCCAGGATTCTTTCTTCCCTCGCCCTCCCCTCGCAAAATGCCGACTTCTGTGGGGCTTCTGGTCAAAACCGACTCTAGCCCGCAGTGGAGTGAGGAAATATTGCCGTTGGCAGTGAGTCTGACAAGGCTCACAACATACTCTTCTGACAAATGCGTCCCGCTTGTTTTACTACGTGTTGTGCTTTCCGCGGCCTCGTAAGCAGCCGGGTGGAGGACCCAAGAACCATTCGTCATCATGTTGTGTGAGGACAACCCCATTGAGAGCGTATTTGCAAGGGGGGTTTCCGGACGCACCGCCTCAGCCAACAACGTTGGCACAGGAGTGGAGAAGATATGAATGAAGGCGTCGATGGCATTCGCAGTGGGGATCAAGGAAATGGAATCGGTTAAATGCTGAGAAATGGCATTGAAGAGCTGGGGAAAGATCTTTGAAAGCGGCGGACCATTCCTGTTCGATCTCACGTCGCAGACTCTTGAATCCACATATGTCACCAGAGTGGCGACTATCGACTCCCTGCAAAGAAATTGAAAACTCTGAAATTCTATCGCGTTGGTTCCTCCATTTGATCAAGGCTAAATAACGACAGCAGATGAAACAGCGAAAGGCTTTGAGTAGAATGTACCTTCCACAACCCACAGTGACTTCATTCAGATCGCAGCAACTCGCCATCGCCACTAAGAGAGGTCACAGAGATGGTTGTCAGAGAAATCCGTTCGAAACTTGACTGCTCTGTAAGTCTGCTGAACTCAGTCACACCTTGACTAACCTCACAAGGCCACCGAAATCGCTAGTGTATAGCTGGATGCCAATCGTTGCACTAAATATGGTCGGAATTTGAGTTTGAACCTACGAATTGAAGGGTCTGAGGGTTTGATCCTGCAAGCGTTGTGTAGAAGAAATATATGAGAAAGTATGAGAAGCCTCTGGAAGAAAGGAGACTCTGAGTTCAAAAAATAAATATAAATTATCTGCCGACCATAGCTCGCACGCATTTCGCATTACTCCCTCCACACGGCAACACAGGCAGACTAGAAGTTTAGCGGGCCCCTGCCCGACTGACATCATCAACCAGCCCTGACACGCGTAGCATGCGGCCGGGGTTTAAGGTTTTTAACGTCAGACTACCTTAAACCAACAAAAGGTTTTTCAGCTATCTCGGAGGGGTTTTCCAAGTGGACTTGGAATAGACTTGGAATCTTTCTACATGAAGAATGGTTGGTTTTGGATTTGTGCAAGGGCGGCTTCTGACAAGGTATATAAGTTGGTTCTAGGGCATGACACAGTGTTAAGGACTTTCAATGTTAAAAGCAAGCCAAAGTTCTTGAAAATGTTAGCAATCTTATCATGAGGGAGCATTGAATTTTATCTGATACTGAATGTGAAGATCTAAACATTTATTATTATGATTTTTCAACTTGAATGTAAATTTTAAACATTTTTTGAATACAATGAAATTATCTACAATCATAGACATAAATATAAAATTGCAGCTTTTTGAATTGATGCAATAAAATTTCAATTAGTTAATTTATTTACAGTAATAAAATATAAATTAAAAACTATTCATAAATAATCTAGAATTAGGAATACCATTATATGAGCTTATCATGAACAAAATAAACTAATTCCAATGTATGAAATAAGTAGGAATTAGAATTGTTGTATGAATGATACATTGAGCTATATGATGACATTATTCTCACTTTTTGCCAATTTATATGAACTCACTTAACACTATCTTTGTTTGAAAATAATAAAATTTATTCATAATGTGAAATTCCTACTTGGTTTAAGTCAACCAATAGAAGTCAGGTTACAAAAGAATTAGGATTTATACTAGAATTTTTAATCAATTTTTTATAAATCTAGGATTAAATTGAGAATATACATGGAAAATATGCAAAATATATTTAACTCAATGACAAAGTTCTTTTGCATAGTTCATAAATATATATAGAGAATTATAAATAATAATCATATAAATACATGTATTATTTATTTATTTATTTATTTTTTGGTGTAAAAAAAAACCTTATAAGAAGTAGTAATATCTTTTTTTAAAAGAATTTTTACTTTACAAATATGTTTATTTTATTTTAAAATAAAAACTAAAAAATAAAAAATATCAAAGTTGAAATAAAGATAGATTAATAAACATAATATTTTTTAATATATACATAAAAAATTCATTGAAAGATGAACATTTTTTTATGGCTTGATATAAAGTTTATTTATTAAATTAAAATTAAATAATATAAAATAAATAATAATATTAATATATATATATATATATATATATAGAAAGAGAGAAAAAAAAAGAAGAATGAATGATATAGCAATCCAAATTATATTAAAACAATCTATCTATTATCACAAATTAGCACATGCATTGTATAAATCTTCTTCATCATTAAAACTATCATCTGCACTTGAGTAAACAAAATCATGATTTTGAATATGATTTTCAAAAATTCTCAATAGTTTCCAATAGCTAATGTTAATATTTATTAGTATTTGTCTTGTTATGTTTTATTTGTAAGTATTCATATACTCAATCTTTTTTTTGTTAATCTTATACTTGAATTTGTTCTTTTGCACATTGTGTGTAGTGTATAGAAGAGAAGAGATTCTATATTCTATAATTCTTTGTATTTTGCAATGGAAAGTGAGGCATATATGTTTGCACCAATAAAAAAATATTTTGAAAGTAAAGAAATAAAAGATAATATAGATGCATTTGCATATAATCAAGGATATGTCATTTATAAATGATGCTCTAACAAAGATCGTATTGACTTTAAGTGTGATAGAAGACAAGTTTATTATGACTGAAATTGTCTTACTCATCAATGAAATAGTGTAAGTCATTTGAGCAAGTATCCATTTGCATTGCATACATTTTGCCAAAAATTATTGTCATTTGTTTACGAGAGAATGCTTCTAATAGCAAAGTTATTGCTTAGACTATTTACAATGAGCAACAAAAGTTACATCACATTGCACTTTCTAGACATTCACCTATTGTTTGCATTATGAAAACTTTACATGCTTCTAATTATTATTTTACTTATCAATGTAATAAAAAAGATAAGGTTATTTCTTTATTTTTTGAACATTTTGAGTATGCTTGAATTACAAAAAGGTACATTTTTTCCATTGTTATAGTTTTTACATACAAAATAAATAGATTAATAATGTCCATGTTGCATATTATAGAAATTATAAGTTTTAATATCTCTTTTATCATTGGTTTTACTTTTTTCAAAGAAAAAACAAAACCTTTCTTTTTTTGGAAATTAATCTAGTTTTTTTTAATTATATGGAGAAATTTGATCTATATGCATTAGTGTTGATAAGGATTTAATATTAATAAATGCTATTGAACTTATATTTTCTATTTTATATGTATTATTCTATATTTGGTATATTCAAAAAAAATATGTTAGTAAATTATAAAAAATATTTTTCAAACAATGTAGAATTATGATGGTCTTCATTTCTTGCAAATTGAACCACTATGATTAATGCACCTTTTGAAGAGTTTTTTGATCTAGAATAGAGTAATCTTTACAACAACTATATTTTTATTGTTATTTATATATTTTTTGTGTATTTACAATATACTTGGATATTATAAAAGAAAAGATTTATTTAATCTTGAATAAATAATTTACTTCATCTTAGAAGTGTTATTACATCATGAATAGATAGTCAATATTTAGCATTGAAATCATATTTAAAAGTATCTACCAAAGATGTTAGGAAAGTATAAATTTCTCTTTTTTACTTTTTTGAAAATACAACAAGAGAGTTCAAAGCTAAATAGAGTTCAAAACAAATCCGTATTTTTTATAAACACAACGTTAATTTCTTTATCTATATTATGCAATGTATCTTTTTATTTGCTTTTAATCTTATATTTGAACGATATAAATATGTAAGAGCAAAAATTAATGATTACAATTTATCCTACATAAGAATAATGACAAATACATTAGGGCTTCCACATAAGCATTATATTTGAAGTTTACTAAGGATTGAAGGTGTTTTAGCAATTACTGATTTTCATCATCAATATCATTTAGTAAATAATTTTAAACAGTTTGTTAGAATACCACTAGAGGTTGAAGTCTCTTTTCACATTCTCCACCCTCTTTATGATATTATTAATCATACATTTGATATTTTATCTCTTCACCAACAAGATAAAGTACATAAACAATTGATAGAACTTTTAATAGTGATTGTACAACAAAAAAAATATATGAGTGAATTATTCAAAGAGAAGACCTCAAGGAACAAGGAATAGATCAAGAAGTGATATGCATATAGAGACATTTATACAACATTAGGCTTTACAATTTAAAACTATAGAAGTAAAAATAAAAAGATATTTTTGCAATAATTCCAAATGTATAGGATATAATGTCCGTACATGTCCTATAAGAGAGTTTTTTTTTCTCATAATTGTTTACAAGTGATTCACAAAGAGTTTGATACTTAGCAATATTCTAACAAATATATTTTGTATAAAATTAAAAGTACATATAATATTTAAGTAATTTTAATTATTTATTTATTAAAATTATATTATCAACTAATAAAGTATATATTAATTGAAATCATATAATGCATATTTCCATATAATTTGCTTTGTAAAAACCTATTATCACAAAATATTTTTTCATTTTGTGATATTCAAAATTTGTTCAAGATTGAGCTACTAGAATAAAATGAACTATAATTAAAGTGTATTTAGCATACTTAAAAGGTTATCTTTTTAAGTATGAGAATTAAAAATGAGATATAATTTAATATAATATAATTTTTTTCAACTCAAAGTTTTAAGGATTTGTGTACAATACCTCTAAATTAGATAAGTAATAAAATCCTTGAATAGAAAAAATATATTTTTTATTATTCAAAAATAATCTAAGAAGAATTAATTTTAAATAAATAAATATATATTATATAATATTAATATGTTGAATGAGAATTTTTTAACATACAAATATTTTAGCAAAGTAGTAAAAAAAGAAAAAGAAAATATGAATTCAACTAGTGATTGCTCTAGGTGTCAAACATTATGAGTTACACCTACAATAATATTCAAAAGTGAATCTTTGAAGTAAGTAGGAAAGCTAGAGATTCTTGCACCTAATAACGATGACCATTCTACTACATCTATTTCCAAAAAAGCCTTTATTAGTGATCATGGCTTTTTATTACTATTGTTAGTAGTCCTTTATGGTCTAATGATATATCTACTATGGAAAATCTAGTTAGGATGCTTTTGAATTAACATATTTGTGTAAAGCATCTTGAGAAGCTCAATGAAATAGGATCAGTCTACCTCAAGTGTCAAAGACTTTTTTAATCCATAGCAACATAAAATCTCATTACAAGGTAGGACAAACTGGATTAGAACAAAATTGAATAGAATTAAATAAAATGAGACACAAAAGATAAAACTAAACAACCAGAATTAGAAAAAAATAGAACAAAATAAGAAGATACAAAATCCAATTGTATTAAGAAAAAGGGTCCAAATCCATATCTGACTAGATGCCTCTAAAGAACTTTGGTCAGTCCTATTTATACTTTATTCTACCACCTTGGACTTTCTAAAATTTTCTTAGATAATGGATTCCATTTAGATAACTGCCTTAAATTCCTTCTAGAAGGTTTAGTGGTGGCCTCACCTAGATGATGGACCCTATTTAAATAACTACTCTTAATTCTTTATAGAATATTCTATAATGGATCCTACCTACTCTACTAATCTATTTTAATTCTAGAAACTTCCATAGTTCTAACTATTTATTCCTATGTATCAATAATACAAATATCTTATCTATACCTTCTTATAATTAATTTCCTTTCACTAATGTGAAATATCTTTGTTTTGATCTCGATAGTATCTCCAAATTATTTCTTGGCAATGAATGAGGTTTT